AGCACTCTGGGAAGCCGAGGAAGGAGGATCACTTGAGTCGAGGGGGTCAAATCTGCAGCGAGCCATGACCGTGCCACTGTACTCCAATCTGGGTGACAGAGTAAGACCTTGTCTCAAAAACAAACAAAACAAAACAAAACCTTTCCCTCATCAACCATTTGCCCAGGAAAGAAGACAATTACTTGGAGTTTTATTTCCTTTATTTACCAGTTTTCAGAATGAGTTGGTGCTATATTAAACACCAAAGGATTTTAAACGTATTTGATGTGTTTCAGCTCACCAGTTTTTTCTTTAATGCCAGATCACTCTATCGTTAGCCAGTGGGTGATCTTCAAGTTAGTTCCTGTAAACTTTTCCAGCCCATCTTGCACACTTCCAGTCCCATATGTGGCATCAGCCATTGTCCTGCAGAGTCCTGGTTCCTTGTAGCATGCCCATATGTATGTTATAAATAAAAATATTTCATAGTACATTGGAGATGGAGTGAGAGACGGAGAGAGATATTGAGAAAGAGAGAGAGATTGAGAGAGCACCTGTTTCACCCTGGGGACTGAGGGCCCACCCTGAGAGATCTGACATGGAGAATCCTGGCCTGAGCACATCCCCCTTCTGGTGGTATCTATTGCCACCAGAAACAACTTATTTTTTCTTCCCCCTTTTAGCTTTTGCTTCCTTCAAAATGAAAGTATCTTCTGTTTTTTCTTATTGTAAAGCATGTGAAAATCCTCCATGACCTTATTCCTCAGAGAAAAGTACCATTATCAATTTGAAGTCATTTTATAGACTTTTCTTTGCACATATTAACAGAGGTGGCTATTGGTAAGGAAACTTTTTCTAAAGGAATCATACTCTACATGTAAGAGGCATTGGAAACAGAGTGACTCCATCTTGAATAGGGGATGGGGACAATGAGGCTGAGACCTGGCTGGGCTGCATTCCCAGGAGGTCAGGCATTTTTAGTCACAGGATGAGATAGGAAGTCGACAGGACTGGTTTCACAAGATACAGGTTACAAAGACCCTGCTGATAAAACCAGATGTGGTAAAGAAGCCAGCCAAAACTCACCAAAATCAAGATGGTGATGAAAGCCACCTCTGGTGGTCCTGATTGATCATTGTAGGCTAATTATAATGCACATGTTAAAAAGACACTCCCATCAGCGCCATGACAGTTTACAAATGCCACAGCAACATCCAGAAGTTATCCTAGATGGTCTACAAAGGGGAGGAACCCTCAGTTCCTGGAACTCCCTACCCCTTTCCCGGGAAACTCATGAATAGCCCACCCCTTATTTAGCATATAATCAAGGCATAACCATAAGTATATTTGGTCAAGCGGCCCGTGCCGCTGCTCTGCCTGTAGAGTTGCTACCCTTGAATTCCTTTACTTTTCTTAATAATCTTCCTTTCACTTTACTCTGTTGGCTTGCTTTTGAATTCTTTCCTGCATGAAGTCAAGAACCCATGTGGCCTCCCAGGCTGGACCCCAGTTGTGGGGTTCACTCTGTGCCAGGCTGACTCTTCTCTAAACTACTTTTTTCATTTAACAGTAGATTCCCTGTCATTGCTGATAGCTCATTCTTCTAACATCTATGCAGTGTCCATTTATTTATCAGATCCTCTCTTAAGGAACATTAGGTTCATTTGGGGTTCAATTCAATCCAATACAACAAATATTTATTTTATGCCAGACACTAAGTGAAGTACTCGAAAACCTGCAACATAACTGGGAGAGGCCCTGGCTGTCAGTTTTTGACTGCAGGGATCACGGAAGACACACCAGGCTGAAAGTCAAATAGCCTTGGTTTACGTCTGTGCTCGGTGGCCTTGGGTAATGACTTCATGTCTCTAAGACACTCACCTCAGAACTGTTGGGAAGAATCCGTGGTCTTACCTGGGTGGAAGCACTTGGCTAAGAGTGGTACCTTCCCTTCTGATTTGGGTGTCATGCTCAGAGTAGATCACAACTACACACCTGCACACACACATTTTTTGTTTGGTTTTTACTTTCATTTTTCCTTTTTAACCAAATTATTGCTTTTAAAGTCAATTTAGAACAGCCTGATCCAAACAAGCTATCAAAGCAATGTAGTAGAACAGTTAACAACACTGGCTCCAGAGTCAGGCAGGCTCGGACTTCATTCCTAGCATCAGTTGTGGGACCTCTGCACCTCAGTTTGTTCATCTGTCAAATGGGCATGAGAGTAGGAACTACAGTTGACCCCTGAACAACACAGGTTTGGACTTGCACGAGTTCACTTATTCACAGATTTTATTTTTTCAACCAAAGGCAGACCAAAAATATAGTATTCAGCTGGTGCAGTGGCTCACATCTGTAATCCCAGCACTTTGGGAGGCTGAGGCAGGTAGATCACTTGAGATCAGGAGTTCAAGACCAGCCTGGCCAACATGGTGAAACCCCATCCTACTAAAAATACAAAAATTAGCTGGGCATAGTGGCAGGTGCCTGTAATCCCAGCTACTCGGGAGGCTGAGGCAGGAGAATTGCTTGAACCCAGGAGGCAGAGGTTGCAGTGAGCCAAGACGGTGCCACTGCACTCCAGCCTCAGCGACAGAAAGAAACTCCATCTCAAAAACAGCAACAACAACAAAATACAGTATTCTCGGGATGCAAATCCTATGTATATGGAGCACGGATTTATCCTATATGTGGGTTCTTTGGGGCCAACTGCAGGACTTGAGTGTGCTCAAAGTTTAGTATACTTGGGGGTCCTGAAACCAGTTCCCCACATGTACCAAGGGATGACTGTGTTGCATGGGGTTATTTTGAGGATGCAATGACATTGCACTTATGTAAACATTTACCTAGCTTACATGCCTATGCTCATCAGGCCACAGACCTTCACTCCACATAAGCGAGTCTCATAAAAGGCAGAAAGCCGTAGAGTAAATGGTTTTATGAATTTTTCGTCTGAGACAAAGCACCCCAAGAGCCATGTGGAAGCCCATTGTTAGACAGCACCTCTGCAGGCTTTTGGAAGGGCCGTTTCTGTGCAAGGGCCGCCCCGACTGTTGAATGTGCTGGTCTGGTGTTGGCCAGGAGTCTGAGTGATGGCGGCTGCAGTGTGAAAATGATGCCTAAGCCACACAACATCATTCAGTCTTCACAACGACCCTGCTGGTTCTGCCACAGAAATGCCTCTGTGACCTATTTCCTTGTCCCCACCCTCCAGTCATTACCTTTCACCAGAAATATTCCAGGAAC